CTGTAACAAAAGAACAACTCTTTTTGGTGGTATATAGAACCGTTTGCAAAAAGGTTCTATATAGAATCATCTACAGCACATTCCCTTCACTAGGCAAAGAACCCTTTAATCATGCGTGTTCATGGTTCTATATAGAACCATTTTCTTTACTAAAAAGAACCCTTGAAGAATCATCTTTTTTAAGAGTGTAGCTACATGCATATATTCATCATAAAAAAGAACATTATTAAAAGAAGGTGGGCAATATAGCACAACGAGAACAAATGACGTGAGATGGGATGTGTGATGCGTTGCCCACTACACTCCAAGTGAACAGTAGGCAGTTGTACCTGGCTACAATGAATATGATCTTTAATAAAAATCATTACAGCCGGCATCCATTTCCCACTGTCATTCCCCTACACAGCTGCCATCCATTCCCAACTTTCCCTCTCAGTCACAGCCACCATCCGCTTACCATGGCTATCGCAACCTGCTCCAGAGCACTCAAAACATCCACCTGGCTGAGTGTCCATAGGATATTTGGATACCTGTTTCAGTGAATAGAAATGGAGGATTTATATTGTGGAGTAATTCTCTGTGAGACTCAGTAGTTATTGCTTAGTTAATAGTGAACTACCCTAATCATTAGTTCACTGTAACCTACTGAGTAGTTAACTAGTACTACTTGGTAGTTAAGAGTAGTTACGTAAGTGTTAATGCAGCACTACTTCATTCGTTCCTGCTTTGTTTCTGATTAGTTACTTATTGACTATGGAACAGGATTGTAAAGTGTTTCCTAACATTATAGAAGCTGATAGATCTAGCTTATCACAGGAATATAAAATCTGTTGAAAAGAGACCCGTGTCTAAAAAGATTAAGATAAAACTGTAAGTTAAAAGTGCAGCTAGCGCACCTGATGTGCCTGACATTCCTACTTGCCTGCCATGATTTTTCCTAAGCAAGCCAGTTCAAGAGGAAGAGGATGGAGGAGAGCAGCCTAATGAGGAGACTTAGCTTAATGCTTTTAGTGCTGTTACACAGGTTCCCCTCAGCAGCTCACATCTCCACTGATTTCAGCTTCCTGCATGCTCAGTGAAGGGGCAGTACATATATTTTGCTCACACACCCTTTCATAGTCCTTTTACCAAAGGCACCAGTAACTGTGAATGTAGGTGATAGAGAGAGAGAGAGAGAGAGAGAGAGAGAGAGAGTTTTTAATGAATACAATTAAATGAATAAAAGTCCAAATCAGATATGAACACACATGAAGTAGAGGTGTTTACTAATTTTCATATAAATCAATAAAAATTGAGATAAATCAATAAAACATGTATTTTTTTGCTGATAAAACTGTATGCAGCGATTTAAGCGCAAGCTAAATTTGTACGTTTATTTGTGTTGCAAGAAAAAGTAAGTGAACCCTTTGAAATTACCTGTTTTTTTCATTGATTACTAATAAAATGTGGTCTGATCATTATCTCAATTCACAATTATAGATAAACACAATCTAACTGAACTAATATTGCATGAACAATTGTACTTTTTATGTCTTTCATTGAGCACATTGAGTAAACATCCACAGTGGAGGCTAGAAAAACTAAAAACCTGTATATCCCCCTTTAGCAGCAGTCACTTTCACCAAACATTTCCTGTGTCTGCAAACAAGATACACATAACTTTTAGAAGGAATGTGTTTCAGTTATCAATATTTCTGAGATGCCTTGCTTGCACAGCCCTCTTCAGGGTCAAGGTCAGGTCTCTTCAGCTTGAGGTCATGGACTGCTGTCCTTATACTCTCTTGTAAAAATTTTAGCTACACCTTTAAACGCATTGTTCCCTCAAAGATCACAAACCATGATGCTCCCTCCACTGTGCTTCACAGTTAGGATGAGGTTTTTGGTGTTGGTGTACATCCTTTTCACTACAAACATAGCATTGTACATTTGTGCTAAAAAGCACCACTTTTGTTTCACCCGTCCATAGAACATTTTACCAGAAGCATTGTGGAACAGCCAGGTGGTCTTGGTCAAACTTGCGACAGGCTGCAATGTTTTTTTGTGGACAGCAGCAACTTCCTTCTTGGTGTCCTTCCATGTACACCATTCTTGTTCAGTGTTTTTCTAATAGGGGACACATGAACAAATGTTTTTGCAGTTTGTAGGGTCTTCTGTGCATCTTTACCCTTGGACTCTTTCTCACCTCTTTCAGGACTCCCTGTTATGTTTTGGGGGTTATCCTAACAAGTTGCATACTCCTAGGAAGAGTAGCAACAGTCCAGAATTTTCTCCATCTGTAGACAATTTGTCTAATCATGAATTGATGTACAACTAGGTCTTTAGCAATGCTTTTGTAGCCTCATCCAGCTTCATGCACTATTACATGTCTTCTGAGGTCTTCTGAAAGTTGTTTGCACTGAGGCATGGTTCACACTAACCTTTCTTCAGAAGAACAGATTTGTCAGTAACCAGGCTTTGTGTGCTACCTTTATTTAATGGGCAAAAAACCTGCGAAACCCACACTTCCAATCTCACTGTGGAGGTTTACTCAATGTGCTCAATAACAGACATGAAAAGGACAACTGTTTGTGTGTTGTTAGTTTAGTTAGACCGTATTTGTCTATAATTGTGACTTAGAAAACAATCAGACCACATTTTATTAGTAATTAATGCAGAAATCCAGGTAATTCCAAAGGGTTCACCTATCCTTTCTTGCAATTGTATCATTTTCTCACATGTCTAAGACATTACTGTATACAGCCCAGAACAGTCAAGCAGTTATTCAGGACTGAAACCTTTGTTTAAAAGAACTTTTTTCCTCTTCATATGTATCAATAAGCACTTGAAGAATCCAAATGCCAACTTAACCAGGGGACCAGCACCCAGGTACCAGACACCTAGCCAGCCCATAAGACACTGGGCTGATGCAGTTTTATAGCTGGACTGATGCCAAGAAGAGGCTCAGCCTAAACATGACAAGTGACAAGTGTGACAGACATGACCATGTAGGGATAAACAAGAATAGACAGAAGAATGTTCTAAATACAGTCACAGTACAGTCAAACACAATACTGAATATAATGACATATAACACAACACTAAACACATTGCAGAGCAATACCTTTCTACACACTCTACATTTAGGACATTGTGGTGCTGATGCATTGATCTTAATTTCCCTCACAGCTCATGGTTCCCAAGCATCCATTCTCAGTATAGGTGTAACATTTCTTCCTATTTGGAGACCCTTTTGGCAAAGCTTAACAGGTAAACAAGTGAAAAGAAGGGGTTTAACAGGATATTTTCTGCAGGTCTGCAGTTAAGTAAATTTGATGCGTGACATTTTTCATTCAGGTTTCAAAGCTTTTGGTTATACTTGCCACTTTGTGGCTGTTGTAGACAGCAGTGCTGCAGCATTTTGAGTTGATGGTTATTTTTGTGAGTCCCAGGTTTAGTCTTCTAGGGAAACACTGCTCTGCTACTGCACAATTCTTCGAATGTATCTCATGTTGTATGACAACTAGTGAACACAGCACATGATTAAGTGGAGAAATTTCTCATCAGAGTCTCATTCAATTGTGTTTAGGTCTTTCTTACCAAGTCTTATGATGCCAGTTGCACTGTCACACTGATCTGGACAGTCTGTCTTTGTGTCTGTACATGTTACAGACAGACCTGGCATCTCAGACAGGCCTGGCATCTCAGCACCAGCACTAACGGACAGTGAGAATCCAGCATGAAAAACAGATCCAATTACATAATATACATACTCAACTGTTCTGCAAGAGGCAACAAGCCTTTATTAACCTTTAATTTCAAAAGACTACTATATAAGACTCAGCTTTGTTAAATGTAAGACTCAGCTTGGTTAGATTATATTCATCCAGACAAGCTACATTGATTATAGACTTAATTTATTGAAATACATTTACTGCATCTAAAAGTTTCCAAATTATACTGAATGCCATATTTCATATCTTTAGGGAAAAGCATGCAGACAAGCACAATTGTACTTGTAGTCTCATTGTTGGTGGATGTGAGAAATGTGAAAATGTAAAGAAAAAAGAGCTGGGTCAGACATCAATCTGATCTAAGGAGGTCTGCCTTTTTGCAGACTTTTCAGAACCTCCTATATCCATGGCTCTTCCTTTAAAACTGTTAAAATGAGACAAGGTTAACCAATCCTGGCTCCTCCCACTCAAGTTATCTCCCTGTTCCAGCCTTTAGGGTCATCATCTGTGTCATTATGTCCTTTTGTTCCTTGTGCCCTTACAGCCATGTGTTATACACATTATTCTGCATTTGTGTTGAAATGCTTCTGTGAATGTATTTGTTTCTGTTTTGTGTAATATAAAGTGTTGAACACTTGACAACAGAGCAACATCATATTTTTAGAAAGATCATGACAAGGTTGTGTCAACACTATTCAGTTTGTAACTGTTTACTCTTTTTACGTGACAAACATTTCTCTACAAGCTTGTGAGGTACAGCATATGAAAACACAAATTAAGTCATCATTTTTGAGTTCTAGAACAGCGTGACTCAGATCACAGGAGGAGGCAGAGACAGTGCCTGATAAATGTTTTTATTTAAATTGCTTTCATTTCAATTTATTACATGATGCCTTGAAATTAAAGGTAACTAACAGGTGCTGTTCTGTATTTCTGCTTTATCCACTTTTTACAAAAGACAAAACCAGCCTTCCAGATATGTCAGGGCCACATTTATTAAACATTCATATACAGAGATGATCGTCTAAATCAAATTTTAATTATGACCTATAAAATGTGAATTTGGTATAAAGATACGTAGAACAGTTTTTTAAGTTTCCAACTTGAAGAACTTTTCATAGTGTCATGGCTGGTGTGCTGCGTGCGTTGGAGCATGTGATCTGTAATCCTCCATATTTAAGTATGTTTAAATTCTTTGAATGTGTTCAGAGGAATCGAGAAGAGAGGCAGCATCCAGAGTGAGGACACACAAGTTCATCCTCTGCGTCAAACTTTTTTATTCTCTTCGCTCACTTCAGGGTGTGCTGAATGTAAACAATCATCTAAAGGAAATGAAATTCCAATTATCTTTGAAGCTTTACTCACAATGCCTTGCATTTTATTACAGGTCTGGATATTTGCATTTCCATACCACACTGTAATAGATGACGTGACAAAACTCTTAATAATGGATGAATAAAATTTAACCAATGGATTGCTTCTGACTTCACATTTTTTAATTATCTCAAATAAACACCTTTGTTGAGATTTTTTAATGAGAATTAATGCTCTACTTCAATAAATTGCTAAAGTAAGTTTCCAGAAATTTGAAAGACTTTACGACAGATATTGATTGTCCCAAAACTTTTTTTTAGTTTTTTTATTATGTTTCTTCTAAAATCCACACTGATCTCCACTGTTTTTGATGTATTGAGATGGAGGTCATTGTCAATACACCATGTTACTGATCTGTTCACCTTCTGCCAGTAATTACGCTGTAAAAAATGAGAGGTCAGTTCAACTTAAAATGACATAGTATCTGATTCAGAAACAAAGCAGAGTTTTAAAGATCTAATGATGGAGAAAAATGAAGGATGATAGAGAAATAAAATCTACACTGAAAATAATAATAACAATAAAAATAACGTTTCTAATGTAATGATATCAGGAGTAACATACATGTTAGGATAGAATGGTACAAACACATTATTTAAAATATACATGTAATGACATACTCTTATGATCATAATTCAGACACTCACTACCTGTATAAATGTTCATTCTAAGCAGCATCAACTTTAACTGTGCTGTTCCACTGTTACTGACGTCTTCACTGGTAAGATCCTCAGAGGATCACCAGAAGAATTATATAAAAACGGTAAAACTCTCTCAGTGAAAGTGTGTTTTACAGTGTGCAGGTGTGTGTTGGTTAGAAGATCAGTGAAGGTTATTTTTCCCCTGTCCCAGTCCAGCTGCACTCTGACCCTCTGCAGCTTCGCTTTAGGTCTAAGGGAGAGATCTGACTGTCCAGGGCGGCGAATATAGTATTGATCATCACTTTCCAGACTCCACACTGAATTCCAGAAAGTGTTTCCTTTTCTTGTTCCAGACTCTGTTATCACACCCAGAGACCAGGAACCACAGTCTCCAACCTGGACGTCCCAGCAGTGTGTCCCTGAGTTAAAACCCTCAGAACCCAGAACACAAGCATACACATCAAATCTCTCTGGATTATCAGGAAGTGATGATCTCTGGTTCCTGTATTCTACAGCAGTGAGATCATCAGACAGGTGGAGGTCTGGATGTGCAGTGTTGGGGTCCAGAGTAACAGGGGCTGAGGAGAGAGAACACAATGAAACATCATGTTTTTCTCTCATTTCTGTAAATGTTTTACCTCTACAGACTATTTTCTTTACTGTGAGTAAAACAGCTTTAGAGGTCGATTCCAGAATACAGATCAACTTTAATCCTGGACTAAATGTTGATGTTCAGTTCAGTGCAGCACTAAAGTGTATTTTCAGTAGTGAATGGTCATTATAGTCCAGTGACTGGTCTAATCTGCGTGCAGCATTTCTCTGTAGTGATTCACTCACAGAGCTGAACATCCATTAACATTTTCACACACAATAACTTGATAGATATGATACTTATATAATATCTCTAATATATATTCTGTAGTGAAGAAAATATCTAAATTACTGTAAATTAATAATACATTATGCAAATGATAAAGACAAAAAACATTTTCTTTCTTGATCAAATGACAGAGTAAAATCTAATCTCCACACATTTACTGAATGCGATCAAATTAATTCTGAAATTTCATCTGTATTACAGAATTCCTGAGATTTGTTGCCTCAAAATCTTTTTGTGATCAGGAAATGTAATTTTCGTCATTGAATAACAATGATCTATACACTATTACATCTATTATCTATTACATCTATTAGAAGTTTGGAGTGAGAAGATCCCCACACACGCTACCAAAAAGCCCCCTTTAGCATACTGGCCCAAATAAATTCTTTGCTTAGATCTTTATTATGAATTGAAACATTTAGAGCTGAACATGAGTTTGGACATCTTCACCTGATCTGCTCGGACATGACCAATAATCATGTAATAATAATAATAATAATAATAATAATAATAATAATAATAATAACAGTAATATAATAAAATAAATTAACTTCACATTACTGTCTAAATAATATAATCACAAACTTTTATGATGAATATATAAATTGCAATAATAAGTGCTTATCATTAATACATAAGTTGATATATGTGTCAATTTCATTTCAAAAATAATATTTGTACTGCTGTACTTTGATTAATGAAATAATTACAAACAATCTAATTTATTTGAAAAATTATTTATGAAATAAATATTTTTTAAAAATGCAAAAAAAAAACCTCTTAAACCATTGAAATTTTAGTTTTATTTATTTGAGTGTGCCGAAACATTGATTGCCTTTTTTTCACTCAAGTATATTTTTATCTCCACACTTCACATTTTATCTGAGTGAGATTTCTGCACAGTACAGTATTCATACTTTCACTTAAGTACAGTTTCAGTGTCCTTTTTACACCCTGAATAAAGAGAACATGATAACATGTTACTAATAGTTTATAAACAGTGTCTCATTAGTGCAGAAGCAGACTGTGTGTGAGAGATCAACCCTAAGAGAAACAGAACTTACTGTACTGGAGAATCTCCTGCATGTTCTCCCACACTCTGAACTGCAGGTTGGAAAGGTGTTTCACTACATTGATCAGAGCTCCTGATGTCTTCTCTGGATCCTTTGGTTTGAGCTGAGCTCTGAAAATAGAAGATTGTGTGAAATATATCACTGTAGAAACTTTACAGCCTGTAATTTATTTGACTAAATATCAATATTTTATGACATTTATTGTCTGGAGTCAATAATTCTGTTGTTTCTGTTAAATAAATATTTCTGCTACTGTTCTCATCACTACAACATTAACACTCAATCCTTATTCACCTTCATTTCATTATAATACACTCATATTTACAATAAATACAATATACTGTAGATTTAAATGTAATAATGACTTTAACATTAGATAAAATGTGTGATCTGACATTTACTCACTGTTTCTCTGTAGACTTGAAGTTCTGAGAAGGAAACAAAAAGAACATTGTAGTTAAAAGTGAAGAGACTTTTCAGGTGTTTTTCATATGAAACACAAACACCAGCAAATATAAATACTATCCCTTTTATATCATTTTATAATTAATAAAACTTTACCTTCTAAATCACTACTTAATAAAATTCATTATGTTTGTTATTTAGAAATAAATCTAATCAGTCAGATGTTGATAAAGTAGTTTGACTGGATGAATTTTGAGAGGCAGGGATCACAAACTAGACCGACGAGCAAAATGCAAACAAATCCATCAACCAGTCATCAACAAACAAATGCAGGTGAAGATCTAATGAGGTTCACTTGGAAACACAGCTTCACAATATCTGCACATTTCATCTGACTTAATTTACAAAAAAGATAATTAAATAAACATATTTGGCTCTTCAAGGCAATCTGCTTCTTAGCAGTGCACTACTGTACACTATTTCATGGAGTGGACTCTCATGCATGTTTCTGTTGTGTTTGTGGCTCTATATATATTAATGAAATTGCAAGTCACACTGCAATAATCATTTATGTGGCTTCTTGTGTTGTTTACTGAGAAATGTGCTGACTCTGCTAAATTCAATGGTAATTATTGTGATATTGCTAATTCTACTTTGGCTCTCAAGTGTCAGTGTTGACAACCACACCAGGAAGATCACTGAAGGCACATGCCCTCCAGAGAAGGGTTTACATTTACAGCGTTAATGTTGCTGTTTGTCAGTTAAAAGTATGTGATATATGCACACAATACTCAGCATTGACAACCTCACATGGTGGATTACTGTGGTTGTCTTGAAAAAGTGGAATATGAAGAAATAAATAACTCACTTTTTTCCTAAAACAACTGTGGAAGATAAAAGAAGTTTTCTATAAGTGACAGAAAGAAAGAAAAAAGAAGGAAAGTGATTTTTACCTGTAAGAACAGAACATCATCAGCTTCCATTTCCTTCTCTATGTTTCTGATTGTGTCTGAAAGAGATGATATTTCTCCATTCATCTCCTCAATCTTCCTCCTCATCATCTGACTCTTCTGCTCCTCCTCCTCCTTCAGTGCAGCTATTTTTGCTGCTTCTTCATCTCTTAGAAACTGGTGAAGCTTCTCAAACTCCTCCTTTATCTGCCTCTCTGTGTGCTGGGCCTGCGTCTGGAATGAGAGACCATTAGGAAACACAAACTCTAACAGATGATCTACAAGCATTTACCACCTACAGGAGAAGTGGACACTCATCAGAAACATGACCTCAGCAACATGTTTCACAATTCAAGATGATGTTTCACCTTAATGTGAGCTGCTGTTTGGTCATAGTCTTGTTTAGCTTCCTCTAAGACTTTCAGATTCTTCTGTAGAGGCTCCAAAGCAGACTTGAGTTTATTCTGTAATTATAGAGCAGTTCAGATTAGCACATTCTCCACCTTTTACAATATCTGATCAGTTAAACTATTAACATGTAACAGTCCTACAGACTACAGATGGAGAGAGAGACTGATAGCAGTTTTATCTCTACCTCAAAATAAGAAGCAATTCTTTCATTTTAAACCGTAACATTTCTGTATTGTAAGTTTACATTGACAGTCATAATGAATTCAGCAACAGTGCATTTTTTTTACTGATAATTCACTTGTGCTGTTTGCAGTTTGGCTTGAAACCACACCCACTGACTGAGATCACCTCCAGCATACATAACAAGTTAATTTGGTACTGAGAAACATTTTATACATTTTGGTTGAGTTACATTTTAGACATCAAAATAACACATTTCATACCTTAAAGTCAGTCAGAGCTTCATCTATTGGGGAAAATTCATGATTTTTGTGTTTCTTTGAAGTCTGACACACCACACACACAGGCTGCTGATCATCCAGACAGAAGAGTTTGAGTTTCTCATTGTGCAGAATGCAGAGCACCTCAGACCCTGCTGAAGATCTCTGACTCCTGCTCTCTAGAAAAGACTCACAGAGGTTCCTCAGTGCAAGGTTAAAGGGAGGTTCTTCTTTAGAGGATCTTCTTCTACAGACTGGACATTCTTGAGACCCCTTAGTTTCCCAGAACTGCTGCACACAGGTTTTACACACACTGTGGCTGCACGACAGAATAACAGGATCCCTGAAGATTTCACAGCACACAGGACACGAAAAGTCTTCTTCTGAAAGAGGGTTTCTAGCAGCCATTTCCTCCAACTGCTGCTGTGCTGTTTCTCTGTAACGGCTCCTTTAGTCCAAACTCCACTTTCTCTTTTAGGACGTCTGTAATGATCAGAGCAGCACAGTTGAGAATCAGCCACCGTAGCCCTTCAACCCACTGAGTGAGTTTTAGCTCCTTTCAGAATCACACATCAAGAAACAAACACATACAGTCACTGTTTAAAAGCTCCTCATTGGTGCCTCTGAGTGAAGTGAATGCAGAATGAAGAAAGATCAGAGTGACAGTATGAGATTCACTTCCTCCAACAGGTAGAGGAGGTGTGGAGGAGGAGGAGCTTTAAAAAAGGAGGAGTCAGTCAGATGCTCTATTCTAACTGTGTGTTTTCTACGCTAGATGGCAGCAGTTCATTAATAACCTGAAACAAGGAGCTCTCAGATGAGTGAAGGTTTCTAAAGTAGATTATTTCAGCAAACAGAATCCATATTAAACTTCTCTTACATATTAAACATGTAAACTATGAGGTTTGTGTTCTTCTACTACTTCCAAATATTATTGTTTCTGCTGTCTGGTGGAGTCTGGACATGACAGCTATAAATAGCTGGTGGTTTGGTTTCTTGAAAATGGCTCCCTCCCCTTCACTTCCATCTCATTGCCCACAATTAGGCCTATATTAGGCATGATACCATGATGGTGAAGGTGAAATCAGCTAATTTGAACCTGCCAGTTTTAAAAATATTAGTTTGCCTTGATGATCAGTCTCTGTAGAAATCAGACACACAAATCCCCACTGAGCTCCTGTCTTGTCATTTTGACTGTAGTGAATGTAGTGTTTTCCAAAAACTGGTCATAATATTGCCCCTCTACAGGTTAATGGGACCAATCATCTGCTGCTGGAAACCACAGCACCTAAGAATGGAATTTATCCAACATCACACCCAAAGTTTAGGTCACTGAGGAGTCCACTGAACAAGCATTTAAATTAGGATACAGCACTGAATTATAGAGCAACAAAGATCTATGATATGGGGAACAGATAATTACTTGATAGACATTGTTTCAAATCGTTATTTGAAAATGGAGCCATGTCCTTAAGGGGGCCCAGCATCCAACCTTAGTACTAACAGATAAATGAAATTTAGAATATATTAAAGCAGCAAAATGTTTAAACCCGAGACAGAAATATTGGGTTTTGTTTTTGACTCGTTTAACTTCATGGTTTTTTACTGAGCCCTACAATAATGAAGGAGTAAATAATGACATCATTTCAGACACATCTTATCAACTGATAATCATCTAACACTCCTGGTAAAAACAAACTACTTGTATTTGGAAGATGATTGTATAAAGAGCTCAATTCCAGTAAGTAAGAATAAACTGAAAGCCAGAGAAAGACACTCATCACTCAGACTAAACATAGTGTCCCAGATGTCTTTGAAGCCTTTCTTCTATTTTGATGATGATTTCTGGAGGCTTCCCAGCACAGTCTTGTCCTATGACTGTAATTATCAGCTGATCCTGCATAGTCTTATTCTCTTATTCTCATCTCTGCGAAACAAATTCAAGTGGCAGCAATATCAGTGCTTTAAGGTTAGTCATTCAGCATAAATGTTCTGTTATGGCCTCGACTACATTATAACTGATCATCAGCATGTTAATAAATATATCAAGTTAGAAATCAAAATCAAAGCCTACTACTCATTTGGACAATTAGTGTATGAATTACATGAAATTATATAACCTGAAATATATGGGAGTTTATGCAGTGTGACATCATAGAAACTTCAGTCAGAGATGTGCACTCTCATATGTGAACAGCAAAACCTACCAGACCTGTACACTCTCAGAAAAAAGGTACTGAGAGTCACTGGTGTGGTACCATCACATCACTGGGTACGTCAAGGGTGCATCTTCAGTAGCTTTAGTTAAGAAATATGATTGTATTATACTTTTTTAAAAGTTGCATTGACATGCAGATGCATGTGTGTACTTATTTTAGGAATAAGTAAATAAGAGTAAAGGATAGGAAGTTAAATACATAAATACATGAATAAATAAATATTGTATTGTGTGCAATTATATGTGCTGTACATAGCTGTTCTATTCCAGAGTGGCTATTACTGTCAAAAATCTTTGTAGAAATTATGGTAAACACTATCAAATAGCAACAGTAAAAGACTATAAAATCCAACAAAGTATTTCACTGTAATAGATACACTGAATTACGTTCAATAAAAAAAAACAATAAATTACTTTATTTTTTACTGCTATATTGTATAGAAAATACACAATTTAACTGTGAAAATATAAAATTTTGGTGAAATTAATGGGAAAAACACTGTAATGTCATGAAGAACTAATTACCTTAAAATTAACAATGTAATTCTGCATTGTACAAAATCCAACTTGCTAAACAGCAAGTTTAAAAAATACAGTTGGGCCAGGTTTATCATGATGGTTTAAATTAACTGATTTAACGACCTGTATTGAGTTAATGACTGTCTCATAGCACACACACTGCATCAACTAACAATTTCAAGAAAGACAAGATGTAATGTATTTATATGAGTTCTAGTATCTGGGCCGCTCTGTGGTTCAGCAAACTGACCCAGTAGCATCCAAATGATTCTCTATAAACACAGAGCTATATAACAGAGTATGTCAAACTCAGTGTACAAAACAACATATAGAAGTATTTTTGTTGTAGAAGTTAACAATAACAGCCATTAGTGACTCTATTTGGTTTATATTGTACATTCTCTGTAACTGGACTAAGTATTTTTGCATTTAGTAGGAAATAGTAACACCTGCTCTGTGGTGGTCCTGGTTGGGGTCCTGATCATTTACATTTACATTTACATTTACATCATTTAGCAGACGCTCTTATCCAGAGCGACTTACAAAAAGTGCTTTGTCTATCCAGAGAAAGAATCTTCGCTAGCTACCAATAGGTTAGAGAGAAAGCCAGTCCTAAGCTCAGATACTGCTAGAATCAGAAGGTCATTGACACCTAGTGAAAAAGGAACAGAGTTAAACACAGAACAGTGCAATACAATACAATACATAAGTGCTGTACAATACATTACAATCAATACTTAATTTAGTGCTCATTTAAGTGCTGAATACACAGGTGTGTCTTCAGTCTGCGTTTGAAGATAGCGTGAGACTCTGCTGTACGGACAGCCAGTTGGAGTTCATTCCACCACTTGGGTGCCAGTACAGAGCACAGTCTTGATGCTTGCCTTCCACGTGCCTTGAAGGATGGCGGGTCAAGCCGAGCTGTACTCGAAGCTCGAAGGGCGCATGGTACAGTTCGAGATTTGACCATTGCCATCAAGTAGGGAGGGGCTGGTCCATTTTTGGCTTTGTAGGCAAGCATAAGGGTTTTAAATCTGATGCGTGCAGCTACAGGAAGCCAGTGAAGGGAGCGCAGCAGTGGGGTGACGTGGCTGAACTTTGGGAGATTGAGGATGAGTCTTGCTGCTGCATTCTGGATGATCATTAATGAACAAACTGAAAGGCTTAACGAATTATGCAGAGAAACAGATCAACTACAATCGGTCACTGCAGAACTACAAACTGCATCTATACATTAATGGACCTGATTTAATGGACAATGAGCATAGATACAAGATAGCTGTACATAATGAAGTGTCCAGTGAGTGTAGACATATAATGAAGTACAGCAGTTTACTGCACTCACCAGCTTAGTTTGTAATTGTTTGGTAAAGACCACTGAAGCTGTTTCTTTACTTGTGTAATTGTTATTCCACTGATTTTTTCTGAATTGTAGGTTCTGTTTATGTTGTTTAGACAGTTAAAGCAAAGGCTTCAAGGTGCTTTCTGGTGTAATCAGGTCATTTCCACATACCATTGAACACAGGTGAGCCTTAAGAATTGTTCAATTTACAAGACATGATACAGTACATAGTAGCTTAATGTACAGCCTTATTTTCTTAGAACTGTGGCAGATCATTGATCTCAGCTGTGTTCACCTGTGTTGTACATCCTCTTCTATTTCTTTACACATTCATAGTTTTACTGTAGAACTGGGCACTCACTGTGTTGTTTTGGTTTAATGGTACAACTTATATTCTTTAGTACTGATTTCCAATGAATATTTTAGTGAACTTCAGAGGGCTTTGTTTAGTGAGTGAGAATGTAATGGTTACATAAGCTACATTTTTGTGTTTAAGAAAGAAAGAAAAGTCAGTACAACTCAAAGTTTTGCTCAAGACTAGTTGTTTTCTTAGTACAACAAATGTTCTCATGTTAGCTCAAATAAATATTACAGTGCAGATGATCTGGCTGTTTGGATCCAAGTCTCCAGCAAACTTGCCCAACATGAAATCACTCTCTCATTTTTGCACAGTTTGGTTAAACAAATCAGTTGAATATGTACTTCTATGAGTGAAATATTCCTGTTGTGCTGTTTTCAGGTAGACTGGAAGAAGCTGGCGAATAAGAAGTCAAATTCAGCCTCATCTGTTTGAGTAAAGATCAATATTAATGAACTCCTACACATGAAATACTTTCTACTGTTTTAAGTGTTTTGAAACATGTTGTGTAAAAATGACGAGACCTGCTCTGCATCTAACATTAAATCTGACTAGTTCCAGTGTTAGCTTTAACATTAGCTTATCTGATGGTGTGGCTTCTGTCGCTAAAACCTGCAGCTTTAATGTTGAGTGACTAAATGATTTCCCTGCTTTGATTAATGTAAACATGGTTTGCAGAATTTTTTTTGTCAATAATTTCACATGTATGTCTGCACTGAATATCATGTTAAGCCGAATAATTTCTATAAAACTAGTTAATTTACTTGTTAACACATGATGTACTTTTTTAGGTTGAACTGAGTCATTTTTCACAGTGTAAATGTGTCACGTGAGGAACACATTTACACTGTGAAAGAAATACATCAACAAGATCTCAGAAAAAGGCATCAAGTCTATCTGTAACATAAATTAAAGATAAAGATTAAAAATGATGCCAATCATACTGATTATACACAGCTCAGAATTCTAAAAAATGGCAGTCACTCATTTTATATGCTCAAAACTAATAGACTCTAGTAGTTTTAGTCAAACAGTGCTTGGCTGACTGATATGATCATTAATTATGAAGCATTATTGAGTTATTTTACTCAAAACAACGCTCACAAACTCTTACATTATACAACTATGTAATAACTACCTAAAAATAACATTATAAGTTGTAACTAATAAGTAATTTAATTAATCATGTCAATAATATGAGCTGTCAATGTTGAACAGCTCTGTTCTGTTGAACAATATGATTTCCTTACATAACATTTTAAGAGATGTTATCAGTGTATTTATTATCAGTGTAGCTCAGAATGTCATATTCTGTTTGTGTAGGAAAAGCACAGGATACACAATGTCAGACACAGTCAGTCACAGCTTCATCTACCGGACAGAATTCATGACTTTTGTGGTTCTTTGAAGTCTGACACACCACACACACAGACTGCTGATCATCCAGACAGAAGAGTTTGAGTTCCTCATTGTGCAGACTGCAGAGCACCTCAGACCCTGCTGAAGATCTCTGACTCCTGCTCTCTAGAAAAGACTGCAGACAGGTTTTACATGCACTGTGGCTGCAGGACAGAATAACAGGATCCCTGAAGATTTCACAGCACACACAGCATAGAAGGTCCTCCACTGGTAGCTTAAAGATGCCATTTTCTCCAATGACTGCTGGTCTCTTCTTCTAATGGTTTCTCCTTTCATGGTGTCACTTTCACTTTATGGATTTCTGTACTGACCTCAGCAGAAGTGTTCAGAATCAGTCACTGTCTTCAGAAGTCAGATTTTTAAAGTCAAAGTCATTAGATGAGTGTTTTTATCAGCAATTCTCAGACAAGATAAGATAAAATGACCCGTAAGGATCAGCAGAGGGACAGTGTGAGGTTCAGTTTCCTCCAGCAGGTAGTCTGTGTAGTGGAAGAGGAGTTATGAAAGGGAGGAGCTGTAATTCATTTAAAACCCAAAGTTTGTAGGTTGTTTTGTTTTGTATGTTAACATTGTTTTTAAATAACAGAACCACAGACAAAGTAAAATATTTAATATTTTATTTTTTTTTATGTTAATTATTCCATTTTGCAGTTCAGTCTTATTTTTCAGTTATTTCATGATTTCTTAATCACATAATTAATTACATAATGATCTCTTTATATTAGATAATCAAAAGGCAAATACATTCTGTGGAGAGTTTATCAATAAGATTGTTCTTTTTTTTTTTGCAAAATGTTTTTCTCTCCAAATTTTTATATTAATATTTTATATAAGCCATTACATTTAGCAGTTTATTTCATGTGTTCATTTTAAGCACATATAACTTTGATCCAGCAATTTTTTAAACAGTTAAGTCAAAACTGTCAGATCACTAATGATGTAACACTACTGACTAGTGGTGGGAATCTCTAGGCACCTCACGATTCGATTCGGTTACGATTCAGAGGGCCGCGATGCGATTATAAAACGATTATCGATGCATCTCGATGCATCTTGTTTTCTATACAGAATTTATATTTTCTCACTGTGTGACTTCAAGTTTCAAGCTCAAGTTTTAAGTTTATTTGTCATTTACACAACATGTCAGGACATTTATTTGAAAAAGGCATTCAAATGCTTGTGGTGAGGCTCAGCTAATCACTCTACAGAAAGTAAATAAGTAAAAATAAAAATACAAGAAAAACAGACGTATTAAATATACACAAAATATACACAGAAAATACATTTTAAAGTGACTATTTGTAATGATCAATACTGTTCTCATCACTACAACATTAACACACAATCCTTATTCACCTTCATTTCATTATAATACACTCATATTTACAATAAATACAATATACTGTAGATTTAAATGTAATAATTACTTTAACATTAGATAAAATGTGTGATCTGACATTTACTCACTGTTTCTCTGTAGACTTGAAGTTCTGAGAGGGAAACAAAAAGAACATTGTAGTTAAAAGTGAAGACACTTTTCAGGTGTTTTTCATATGAAACACAAAACACCAGCAAACAGCCAAGTTGGTGACATTATCTATCATTTAATATTCAATAAAACTTTACCTTCTAAATAACTACTTAATAAAATTCATTATGTTTGTTATTTATAAATTAATCTAATCAGTCAGATGTTGATAAAGTAGTTTGACTGGATGAATTTTGAGAGGCAGGGATCACAAACTAGACCAACGAGCAAAATGCAAATAAATCCATCAACCGGTCATCAACAAACAAATGCAGGTGAAGATCTAATGAGACTCACTTGGAAACACAGCTAAGAATTACAGGAGAACCACCAACAACAGAACCAGAGCCAAACTAACACAACAAGCAGCAGGTTTGTGGATGATGAGGCGGCAGAGCCGGAACGTTCAGAGGATCCAGGAGAGGCTCCACTGATGATCAGATACAGAGTCAGAAGATCTGCTCATTTATTTTATCTTCATTTATAAAATAAATAAATAAACATATTTGGTTCTTCTACTTGAGTTGCCTCCCAGCAGAGCTCACTACTGTACTCTACTTTGTGTTTGTGGGCTCTGTGTGCATTAATGAAACTGTAATAATCTTTTTTTGTGACCTTCTTGTGTTGTTTACTGAGAAATGTGCTGACTCTGCTAGTCAGTGGTAATTAGTGTGATATTGCTAATTCTACTTTGTCTCTCATTGACTTTGCTAACAGTTGTGCAGATTACAGTGTCAGTTATTTGGTTTATTTTACTGCTGTTTGTTTTTGCTACAGTTTAAGTTCCTTTTCTTGGAGACACTGTTCACATCTGAGTGTTACTATATTAGCAATATGCTAACAGACAAGCTAGTCTTCAGTTAATGAGTCAGTTTGCCAAGTGTGTTATCACTGTGTGTGTTTAGAGCGCCCTCTGTTGGAATCTGCACTGAAGTACCAGATTCACCTTTCATTTTATATCTCAGTACTGATTATTAGTAGAACCAGCAAAATAAAATTCTATATATTATCCAGACTGTTTTATTTACATCTAATAATGAATAATTTGCACATTTGAGTAAATATCGTGTTCTGTAGTCAAGCTTTTTGTTTGTTTTCTGATTTACAGAAACCACACACACCTCTACACACCCAAGCACACATATTCAAAGCCTGTTTCTGTTTGCTGAGCATCTTTTGGAGGAGACAATTAAAGCTTCTTATTAACTCAACCTGGAACCAGCCATCAGGGCGGATCTATAGGGCGGCAAAAGGTCGCAGCTGCCACCTCCTCTACAGCTTTAACCACCCTAATTATTAACCTTAATTATGCAGACCATAAAGAACACTGAAACAATGTTTTGTTGTGTTATTTATGCACATTGACACAAGAATTTGAGACACTGTAGGAATTTATCAGTGATTTAAATATATTTCGAAATGTTGATGTGGCTGTGAGTTTCGGTTTTATAGGTCTCTCCTCATTCTAAGAGAGAGGAGTCTGGTCTCGTATGACTGGAAATACCTGCCCAGGGACGTGTTAAAGTGGCTGTTGAGTGAACAGACTTTCCTATAAGGACTTTGGTTTGTTAACTCTGTAGTTATCTTCTCAGCTTGCAAGTTAAATGAATAAAGGTATTTACCTGGAGTTGTATTTGTTACTCAGTTAACCTTCACTTGTTCTGAACTACAGGTAAATTCAACTTAAGACTTAATCTCCAGTCACCAGAGATGTAGACTCGACACATATGATTTGGACTTGAGTCCGGTTGGTATCATGAATTTGATGACTTGAAACTCGACTCGACAAAATCAAGAAAGACTTGCAACTCAACTTCGACTTAAATACCAGTGACTTGGACTTTGACTCGGATTTGAGCCTTAGAGCTTGGAACGACTCGAGACCCAAAGTGGAAGAAATGTGGAGAGTCTGACTGCAGACAGGACTCTACACAGCTGCTGACTTTTCATGTGAAAGGATTTGTTCCCTCCCCTAAAGTTGATATATGTCAGCTTCCTCAAATGTCTGTCAGTGAGTTTATGCTCAGCTTAATTAATTCAGGAAGAAAAGCGAAGCATTAGAATTTAAGTTCACCTCCATAAGACAGACACAAGCGGAGCATCAATGGCATCAATAAGTCCAGCTCAGCTCTTAGACTCTTACTGGAGAATCTTACCAGCTGATCTGACCATTTTCCTCATGGTAGTTAAACAACAGAAACTCAGCTCTCTGTATTTGACAGAGCTTAACAGCTTCTGCAGGTAAAACAAGCTCAGCGTTCACCACGAGGCTGAAGTTGACTTTTAATCCTCCAGGTTCATATTTGAATTTGCTGTTCCACCTTAAATGGTGCAGAAGTTCCACACCGGAACCGAACGGAAAATCTGAAGAAGAAGCTGCTGGCAAATAAAAAGTCAACTTCAGCTTCATACATTCACCATATCAGCTCAACTCAGTCATTTTGGTTTCTATTGTTTAAATTACTTTCAAGCTAGTGTTTGTTTTTAGTTTGCTGAGTTTTAGCACTGAGTTAGTTTTTATTTGATTTATACAACTCCTTACTACTCACTACTCCTTGTGTAAGCTATATCTGTCATTTGTGTGCCGTGGATTTTTTATTTTATTTGGAATAGTAAAAATTAATAATAATAAAAAATAATATAGAGCCACACACTGCGAACATGCTGTAATTAAACGACTGTAGTACTGTTACCATCAGTTTTGGTCTTCAGTGTTGAAATTGCCTTAAATTAGGTGATGAATTCATTTTGACTTGTTTAGAACTCGAAGATCAAGACCTGAGTCTCAACTTAAGACTTGCTTGTACTAAATTTGGATCGAGACTCGACTGCCTTGACATGGGACTTGACTCAGGAATTGAATGTCAAGACTTGATTTACTTGCAAATTAGTGACTTGTTCCCACCTCTGCTAATCACTGCTTAGCAACTGCTGCTATCAAGCTTTCTGCTCTTTAGCGCTGGTGTGTCATGTATTTTTAATTTTGACCAACTTTGGTGCCCAGGGGGACCCTTAAAAGTGAGACTGCAACAGACCACACCCTGTCATTTTCTACCCATTTCTAAAACTAAAATTTAGAAATATTTGGTCTGCAAATTTGGTACTTACTGTGCTCTTTCACTACAAAAGCTAAAAGGGTGATGTCAAAATATCAAAGCAAATATCTACTTCTACGCAAGAAGTCATAAGAGGTAAGATATAAAGAGTCCATAAACATGTATCTCATGCCCGCAGTGGCAGTATGCTTTAGCCGACTAAATCTGGACTAAATTCTCCCTTATGTGAAGACTCAGGCTATAGATGGCAGAAGTACTGGTGAAGGTACTTCCAAACACTGTAAATCAAAATGCACAAGCTTTGCATGTTGGTTGCTGCTGTTTTGCATTTTTGAAAAATTTGCTCAGTTATCAGGAGGTTGCATGGATAGTTTGCTATATAAACACGTAATCAATACACTTGGATGCCATGTGAACGTGTCACCCTGAGAGAACTTCCTTCCATCTCTGGTAAAACTTTTTAGATTTGCCTCTTCTACCCACCACCTATCCTGGTTTTAGTCTATGTCTACCTTACAGGCATCAGATGCACACAGTACCCAACACTAACAATCTCACATGATGGATTATTGTGATTGTAGAGATCTTCATAGTGATCCTCCCCTTTAACACTAAAACATTTAACTCACCTGTTCTTTTCTAATGTTGGTATGAAAAGCACTTCCTTCAGAAGTACAAAGAGAAAGAAGCAGTTTTTGTGTGTATAAATCACAAAGAGAGAGAGAAAAAGAAATATTCTTACCCGTAAGAACAGAACATCCTCAGCTTCCATTTCCTTCTCTATGTTTCTGATTGTGTCTGAAAGAGATGATATTTCTCCATTCATCTCCTCAATCTTCCTCCTCATCATCTGACTCTTCTGCTCCTCTTCCTCCTTCAGTGCAGCTATCCTTGCTGCTTCTTCATCTCTTAGAAACTGGTGAAGCTTCTCAAACTCCTCCTTTATCTGCCTCTCTGTGTGCTGGGCCTGGGTCTGGAATGAGAGACCATTAGGAAACACAAACTCTAACAGATGATCTACAAGCATTTACCACCTACAGGAGAAGTGGACACTCATCAGAAACATCACCTCAGCAGTTTCACAATTCAAGATGATGTTTCACCTTAATGTGAGCTGCTGTTTGGTCATAGTCTTGTTTAGCTTCCTTTAAGACTCTCAGATTCTTCTGTAGAGGCTTCAGTGCAGACCTGAGTTTATTCTGCAATTAAACAACAGTTCAGATGAGTGACATCTGAATGAGTGATGAGTGATCAGTTTAACTGTTTAAATGTAATAGTTGTCCTACACACTACAGCTGAATAGAGAATAATAGCAGTTTTACTCTCTGCTTCAGAATTAGAAGAGATTTTTTCATTTTTGTCCAGTGGAGAGTAATATTTCTGTAAGTTTTACATTGACCGTCAAAATGAATTTAACAACAGAGCATTTTTCTGACTGATAATTCACTTGTGCTGTTTGGCCTGAAACCACACCCACTGGCTGACTTCACCTTTAGCATACATAACAGTTTGACCTGGTACTGAACTGTTTCAAACAATTTGATTGTTACATTTAACATATCAAAATATTTGATGTGTCCTACCTTAAAATCAGTCACAGCTTCATCTATTGGGCAGCAGTTGTGATTTTTATGCGTCTTTGATAGATGACAGACCAAACACACAGGCTGCTGATCATCCAAACAGAAGAGTTTGAGTTTCTCATTGTGCAGAATGCAGAGCACCTCAGACCCTGCTGAAGATCTCTGACTCCTGCTCTCTACAAAAGCCTCACAAAGGTTCTTCAGTACAAGGTTACAGGGAGGATGAGGATCTTCTTCTGCAAACTGGACATTCTCGAGATCCCTTAGTTTCCCAGAACTGCTGCAGACAGGTTTTACACACACTGTGGCTACACAGCAGAACAACAGGATCCCTGAAGATATCATAGCACACAGGACACGAAAGCTCTTCTTCTGAAAGAGGGTTTCTAGCAGCCATTTCCTCCAACTGCTGCTGTGCTGTTTCTCTGTAACAGCTCCTTTAGTCCAAACTCCACTTTCACTTCTAGGATGTCTGTAATGATCAGAGCAGCACAGTTGAGAATCAGCCACCGTAGCCCTTCAACCCACTGAGTGAGTTTTAGCTCCTTTCAGAATCACACATCAAGAAACAAACACATAC